ATACATAATATTTGGCCAATTTCTCATATCATCAATCCATTTAGTAATTTCGTTTACGTTTGGTAGTTTTGAATAATCACTATCTGATTCCATTTCGGTAAAAAATAAACGATTTATTAATAGTACGTCAATTTGTTTATACTTTCTTTCACTACTGCAATGGCGCCGGTAACAGTATCGCCGCCCTAGCGGCTACGTCTAAAAATAAGGTCGATACTTGAAAAACATTGTTAAATTATCGAAACGAGCTGTGATGCCTTATTTCAAAACAATTTTTAAGGATGGATGTATAGCTAACTCGTTAATTTGCTGGATAGATATATAGTTGATAAAATGAAGACATAATTTTTTTAATGCGACAAAGGACCAAAAAGTTATTACACCAAACCACGCTTTAGGCCTAACTAGCTGGGGCGCTGAACGACGCTAAAATAATAATAAGAAAAGTATTTTATTGTAGCCACTGAAGCACAAAGTTGTTATGCTGATTCAGAGGAAAATCCGTCTTTCAAATAATTCAAATATATTGATTCTTGTTGTCAATAATAGTTCTAGGCGTTTTAATTTCCTGGTTGGGAACTAATTACATATATTGTTATGTAAAATAATGGAAATCGAATATTGTTTGCTTATTGTTGTTGTTGTTAATTTCAGGGAAAATTACTTACAATCACTCAAAATAACTTTAACATCACCTTTATTGAATATTCAATAATCATGCGCTAGGTACTTCAAAGTCTCATTCGGATTAGGCCTAAAATTCACCAGTTCTATCGCGGACCTTACAACTCTGTATCAATAGATTGTGTTTGTAAAAACTATAGAACTTAACAATCACTTAATGTTACAAAACTGCAATTCCTTACAATAAAAAAAATCGTGTCCAGGCTCTCAGATTTATTACGATAGTAACTTAATCAGTACAACGTTACGATGAATTATTCTCAATACGAAAGAGGTTAAATTTTACGTTTTTAAACCTTTCTTTTAAGGGTCCACAATTTGTTAGATTACAACATCGCATAGAATTGATATGACAGTATTGTAGATTCGTTGTCAATGACACCCTGTGTAGCTAATACCGGCTACTAACACATTAGTAAAAAAAAAAAAGAAAAAAAAGGTGTTCTCATTTCAAAATTTGATTGAATATCTTGAACTTGGTTTTTTGTATGTGTCTTACAAATATGATATATATCGCCTACTTTGGCTTCGAAAGAATTTTGTAATATTAACGTGATCTTGTATTTTTAATTTAAAAAAAACAAACTAAAACGAGAGTGAAAATAACATGAACATTAATGCTACGTGTACGTTTTTGTTAAGTCATTGATTGGGTTGTAATTATAATTTCCCCAACTAGAAACACAAAGGACAGGAATAAGTGTCACTGAAATGATGACGAAAACTAGTTCTTTCATTACAGTTTAAATTTCATATCACGTAACCCCTCGTAAAACAATAATTTAACCCTTAAATCACCGAATTGTTTGTATATTGTTCGTATTTGATAATTTTATGTTTTTGCCTGTTACAACACTCACCCTAATAAAGACTGGCCAAAATATTAGTTGAAATCACTGATTTAGTTTACTCATTACGTGCGAAAGTACTCTACAATGTCTTGGCCGTATACGTGTAGGGAGTCAGCCTAGAGATCGTTGTGCCAATTGTACGATAGGTTCCCATCTGCTTCGATGGACTTACTAATTTGTACATCATTAGGAATGATACGCGATATAAGGACGAGTGTATGTAATGCACTTGCTTATCTTGAACGGAAATTTTATGTGAAAATGGACGATTCAACCTCAACCCCAAATAACACATTTAAAACCAGCTGCAATGACGGATTTTTACCATTACGCCTCACCACACTAAAACTGTCCTGATGAATGAACAGGAAACTAATTTACAAAAGTTCATATAGCAATGTTGTGGAACTGTATTAACAACTAGAGATTATTAAAGATTGCGAGAACTGTTTTCTATATATCTTTGAGCCACAGTGGTGGTATTTCACACACTCCTAAACATTTCCACGTTCATAGCTTAGCTAGTGTGTTATGATTCTGCCTTCTTAGATCGTACGTCTAAATTCCATTATTTCAGAGTAAGTGTAAATGATTTATTGATATTTTACTTATGTTGCCCAAACGCATAATTGTGGGACGTTTTTAATCTGTGCACACTTGACCTGTTCAGAACGTCCAACGTCATAACATGCGCTGATACGCAAATATTCATGCGAAAAGGAAAAAGTTTTATAGCCATTGCCTTAATGGAAATGAGCTAGTCAAAGACGAATTGCTGAGGTTAATGACGTGTTTCTACTTCGAGCTGCAGTTTACACGACGCAGTTCGTAGATGAACACTCACACGGCAACAATTACCACAACATGTATATTACAGCAGAAATTACTTAAGCTACGAAAATCTTGGTCGTTAATTCAAGAGATAATATTACTCATTAGTTTAGTTCTGAGAAGACTTGTTCTATGCAAAATATCAGGCTAAAGGATGTTTTTGCTCGACTGAATGATAATAGGAAAAAATAAATAAATAAGGCACCAATACTAATAAACTGAATACCTTAAGAACAACAACGAAAAATCATCACGGCAATTAGTAGTCAATTTAAACATACTTACACGTAGGCCTTAACTGTTTACATATACTAGTTTTCAGAATACCACAGTATGGTTTAAAATAGTCTGTAAGGCCCTTTTCTTTCCGAGTACATAAAGAGAACGGTGTTAGGCTTAAGTTCTCATACATTTCTTATACCAATAACTAACACATGTCCTATGTGAATAATCCCTAAGCATGTATCTACTAATACATTACACTCAGCTCACTAAATTTCATTGCATATATTGTTGTTTTCAAAGTCACGCTGATCACACCGAAGTGTGATCAGTTTCTACTTGCATGTTGTAGGTTAGGGCATGAGTGACTCATTATAACAATACAGTTAGTATTAAAAACTTTACCATGTATTTGGTGTAAAACCTTACACCATGATTAGCCAAAAACACTATTTTGAACTAAAGAACTCTGGTCAGCTCAGAAGACTGAACTCGATTTTTTATATTATATGCATACGTGGGCTAAGCGACCAGGCCAAGGGGAGCTCTAGGGTTCAGGTAAAATAGTACCTAATTTTGTACTACTGACCAAAGGTAACGTAGCCAACAAGCAGTACCCACAGCCACAACAGATTTATCGAGCTCCTCGAACCAAATAACCAGTAACCAGTACAACGGAAAGTGTGACGTGTATTCAGTGGCATACCGCCTCGAACGCTGGACCCTCCAATCCTAGCCATTAGTTCATCCACTGCCCGCGATGGTAAAGATTGTCAATCATAAAATATTTTAGGGTGAAAATTTGTCTAGTTTAGTTTTTGTTTACTCACTTAAAAGTTTTATTTGGTGAAAATATACAAGCTACTGATCCAGCTGAGCTGAGGAAAACTAACACTTCTCATTTTCGGCAACTGTACTTCTCAGCTGCTCATGACAAAAGCTGAGTGAGGAAAACTAACATTTTTCATTTTAGGCAACTGTACTTCTCAGCTGCTCATGACAAAAGCTGAGTGAGGAAAACTAACACTTTCCATTTTAGGCAACTGTACTTCTCAGCTGCTCGTGGCAAAAGCTGAGTGAGGAAAACTAACATTTTTCATTTTAGGCAACTGTACTTCTCAGCTGCTCATGACAAAAGCTGAGTGAGGAAAACTAACACTTCTCATTTTCGGCAACTGTACTTCTCAGCTGCTCATGACAAAAGTTCTTTTTTTTCCCCTAAATTATAAAATATTTCGGAGTGAAAGAATACAAGACTGATCTAAACAAAAAACCACGGTGATCGTTAGTAATATAAAAGAGAATAATTAGACTTACGTAGGTTTTTTTTTTCTGTTTTGTTAAGCAAGTTAACACGAATAGTACTTTGAATAAATCCATAATTTCAATCACGCTACAGTTAAGGATGCAACTGATGCTGTCACACGCGAAAGAATAATTTTTTCATGAAAAAAGTATAACGATTTTAGAATACTATTTTGATTACATATTTCAGTCGATGACATCAAAAAGAATTAAGAAACGCTGAATCTTAGAAACGAGCAGCTTTTCACTGTTCATTCATTACGAACAACTTCATTTGTGCACGCACAGAAGGACTCTTTATGGTGCATTACTTATTTCTCCGATAGGGGGCCGAAGGCCGCCTGTAGGGGTCACCTGTTTTAACCTCTCGCACCACTTTACAGTAGTGTGTTGTCTATCAGTCAGTGACTAGCCACTAAAATGACGTCACATAAGAGACGCTTAACGTTGCAATTTACATTGTCGTGACGTCAGTAAAACGTACGCATGTCATGAATCACGAGAAGAATTATGCAGTCTGTAGGCTACAACACAGCATGATATATGAACAAAAAAGAAAAACATTTGTTACTCTTGATTTTTGGTTTTATTTATTCCTGAAACAGAACACTTTCGGAGACCCTGCGGAAGTACATCTACTATAATCAGATATATTAACCTTAACATAGCTAAGCCTAAACACTATTTGAGTGATGAATGAATAATAAGTCATTTTCTGAGATCGAGTTAAAAAACTGGAGTCACGATAATATTTAGTCGGCAATGTTTTAATGATTTTCTATCAAATGAAGCTTATATCGCCAGGGTGCCAAACTCTGCCGTCTGTCATGGACCTATTTCCGAGCTTATCACTTCGTCATATTCTGTTTTATAGACGCGATATACACAAATACTAACGAGCACATAGTGAGAATTCGTGAAAGCCTTCTGCTTGGAAAAAAAAACCCTGTAAGAATAGAGCTTTTAAACATTACTGTTCAGCTACAAAACTTCTCTAGAGTTCTCTGATCGAAATATGTCTTGTATGTTTCGCTTTAAGTTGAATAGCATTTCAAACTCTCAAAGATATACTAACTGACAGTTGAAATTAGAAACGTCAACTTGGCCTTCAGCAGAAAAGTTTCATGCTTTATTTTATGGGATCCTACAACGTCAGCTTTAAAAGGTTCTAATGCCGGATTCGGTATCTTTCGATTGTGAAATGATATTTTGCATAAGTGTGAAACACTTACCGAACTCCAATTGATCATTTAACTTAATTTTTTTATCGAAATTAGCTATGGTGTAGCACATCTTCAATCTTCTAAAATCAATTTTTATACAATTCCTCACTATGGGCGTCTGAATTTAAAAAAAAAACCACACCAAAAACCCCATTATAAACAAGAATCCACACCAGGTGATGCAATGACTTATATCTCCACTCCTTACGTGTAATGTACCAAACACTATGTGTTCTATACGATAATAACTTGATTTTTTCAGCACTGGTTTTCTATAATGAAGCAACAGTTTTCTCAATCAAACATTACAAAATCATGTTGTTGAATAATGATATAAAAACTGCAATAGAATGGAAAACGTTTTAACTGTAAACCATATGTTAATTGTGGTTGAAATTGTTCCATTCAAATAAATAGCCTTCAGGTTCTTCATCGTGTTTCAATTAAATAACCTTCAGATTCTTCATCGTGTTTCAAATAAATAGCCTTGAGGTTCTTCATCGTGTTAAACAACCAAGAAAAATGTATCAAATGCATGAGTAATATGATAAGGGGGGGGGAAGGGGGAGGTTCACTATGGAAGAATGGCACTCAGGAAATCAAAGTTTTAACTTAAGAGTTGTTCGATACTTTAATCTTTCAAAACATCTCCACCACTCTGAAGAAAGCGATGTAACCACAACATCTGGCTCGCAATTGGTCGACGTACACGCAAGCTTCGGTGACGTAATTCATCAACTCTGCACACTCGCATAACAATACGTAGGTGATCCCCCGATCAGGGATCCTCTTTTTGTGAAACGTGATTCTCCGAAATCCCAGGTTCTCTGGTAAGTTCTTATAAAGATGTCTTGCTCCCGTCCAAGTCAACCAACTTCGTTCTAGTTTTTCTCGATCTTCTCCCGGTAACACCCGAAAAGCTGAAATAATGTATCCGGTTTTATTTGTTGTTGGCGTCTTGGGTAACATGTCTAGTGGCGGTCTAGCAATTGTCGCAACCTCTTCGTAGACAGCTAGGAATATATAAAAATATTTATTTTACGATAAAAGTAAAAATTCGTCACACAATTTTACAGTGATACATAAGATTTTTTTATGTTTGTTTGTAGCTAAGCACAGAGCTACATAATGGGCTATCTGTGCTCTGCCCACTACGGGTATCGAAACTCGCTATTGAGGGCTGCATAATATGTATTTGTCTTTCCTTAAGTACACTATACATGCCTAAAGCCGTATTAATATAGATGTTTGTTTGTTTGAAGTTATGCACAAAGCTACACAATGGGCTATCTGTGCTCTGCCCACCACGAGTATCGAAACCCGGTTTCTAGCGTTTTAAGTCCGCAGACATACCGCTGTGCCACTGGAGAGCAATAATATAGATGACAAGAGAGCGTTACAGTAATTGATTACATAACAACTTTACAACATTTGTGGCTTCCTATACTTTAGATTTTCAACTATGAGAAGTAGGGCGGACAGTGCTCTTTACGGAGATGTGAAGTTGATCTACCGTGAAGCTAGAAACTCGTCAACAGAAGAGCGACGGAAACACATCAGATAGAACCAAATACAGAGTTCAATTAATCACCATGGCTACATTTTCTGAAAGTGATTAACAATCACATCTCGAGGTAATAAATTAAGTGCCAGCACGTTGAGATCCGTAATTTTCAGTAAACAGAAGCGAACTATACGTGCGATAGTTGACGATCAAAGACAGCCTGATGCGAGAGGTTATGATGCCTGCAAGCTTTGGACTGTAATCAATGAAATTAATCTCGGCATCTGATGAACTGAACATTCGCAGAGCGTCAGTTTTGTTCAGCGTTGCTAAACTTTTCTCGGCAGTTTGAGATTCAAACAAACAACCTCTTATCTATATTCCCCAAGTTTAATCAAATCATGCAAGAAAATCAACAGTATATTAACTTGATAAATACTTCGTCGATATATTTATCAAAATTATAGCGGAGTTTCCACAAATTAAAATTACTGAATCTTGTGTAAATTACTTTAATAAATATTCTTTTTTTTTCGCATGTGCGTTTAGTTCCCCCCTAGTCTTTTTATTTCTCTCTATTCTGTCAATTTATCTACATATATGTTTCCTTGTATGCATTTTTATCTGTTTATCTATCTACTTTTTCTTCTTTTCATTTGGCTTTCTTTAGAAGGGTCAGTTTATTTGGCTTTCGTTAAAATGGTCAGTTTATTTGGGAACGACAAATGCCATACATTCTGCTCTTATGAATGTTTATATAATGCGATAATATTTAGTGAATTTCACAACTGAAAGTTTAACAGTGGTTTGTTACTACTAGGTGGTAAAAATTAGGATTTTCAGCTTCAGCTAGTAAATTTTGCATATTGTTTCATTTGTAATTATCATTAGTTTACTTTCTGCGCCGGCCGGTATGACCAGGTGGTTAGGGCACTCGACTTGCAATCTGAGGGTTCGAATCCCCGTCCCACCAAACATGATCGCCCTTTCAGCCGTGCGGGCATTATAATGTGCCGGTCAATCTCACTATTCGTTGGTAAAAGAGTAGCCCAAGAGTTGGCGGTGGGTGGTGATGACTAGCTGACTTCCCTCTAGTCTTTCGCTGCTAAATTGGGGACGGCTAGCGCAGATAGCCCTCGTGTAGCTTTGCGCAAAATTCAAAACAAACAAAACTTTTCTGCGACGCAGTTATTTTCTTTTGCCATGTTGCCTGTGTAAATATATAATATTTTTCGAATTTATTGTTAATATTTTATAATGACCGTTTGGGCAAAATTATTTTTGAGCCAAAAACCAACGTCACGAAAAATTTGCCAGTACGGTTATTAGTCTTGAAAACTTGATATTAGTTTAGCCTACATTTACACAACTAGGTTTTTAGGATTCCTTTACATATTACTTTCTCGAGGGGTAGGGGGCGTCATAGAAAGCTACACAATAGAACTTTAACAACGTACGCTTGAAGAACTAAACAAGATCGAATCCAAACTATTTTCGTTTGACTTTCACCTTTCGTAGTACGCAAGTCTTAGTCAGCAACATAAAAAACTAATTTCAAACATGACGATCTGCAGTATCGAACAGGCTCAACTCTCATCTGCCAAGCTCGATTGATTACATAACTTTCTACCCAATGAAGCTAACTGTGCCTCTAGGTGGTTCGTATTGCTCGAAACTGCAGACCCCAGCTGGTCTTAATGTATTGGGTTTTGTTGCCTGATGAGAGCTGACGTGTGTATAATTTATATAATAACTCAAATGATAAATTGGGTGTTAAAACCAGATGTTCGACTTCAAGCAACCAATTCTAGATAAAGAACAGAGGCTCAGCAGTAAAGCCTACAAATCTTAGTATTGCAATATTGAGTCCCTATTAACAATACATCCTTAAGTTAATACAACAGATTGTCCATTAGGGTGAAAGGGAGTTATTTTGAAACTACGAGTGGAATGTAAGGTTTCCATTGTGGTGGTTTAAGGTTCGAGAACGAACAAGCACACAGTTACCTGATCTTTGCAACAACGAAATGTTCGCGGATTTAGAATTTGGAAGAACCAATTATATGATTTGTTAGAGGAGGAATGGGAAATACAAAACACAGTGTGAATCTGAGTAAAAGTGGACGAATTATATCACAGAGAAAACAGGTGAATGAAGGAATAAGCAACTAGGAGACTGTTATTAAAATAAATATATATATATACACTAAAAATACGCATGAACATCACGTAGTGGAAGACACGTAAAGATGAGCCTTAAAACAAGTCTTGGCTCTCTCGTTACCAGAAACGAAACTACCTGATACAACAAGTCTTGGCTCTCTCGTTACCAAAAACGAAACTACCTGATACAAAAAGACTTGGCTCTCTCGTTACCAGAAACGAACTACCTGATACAACAAGTCTTGGCTCTCTCGTTACCAGAAACGAAACTACCTGATACAACAAGTCTTAGCTCTCGTTACCAGAAACGAAACTACCTGATACAACAAGTCCTGGCTCTCTCGTTACCAGAAACGAAACTACCTGATACAAGTCTTGACTCTCTCGTTACCAGAAACGAAACTACCTGAAAGAACAAAAACTGCTCTTACTCTTCAAATTCTGTCCTCATTTGACTTATCAAAATTACAAAGAAACATTCCTGCTCCATATGACTATTGCAAAGTAACTTTACATACACAAAGTAATGTACGATATAATACAACTAACCCATAAAACATTAGATAGTCTCCTTGACCGAATTGTTCCATACACGGTTACACAAAGGGCCGAATTAACATACGACCTCAACTGGATTTACTGCGCTTCGATTTAGAACTATGGAAACTTTCAAAAGTTGTGTAAATATGAAATATTTGTATCTACTATTTGTTTTAACTGTGTATTATCAAATGAAATATCAATACGTATATTTGTACAATGAGTCACTATAAAAGTTTAATACTATCTTTAGGTTTACTCATCTCTTCTTGCCTAAATGTTTTTTTTTTATTAAAAAGTTATTCTTAGTAATTTCCAAACGTCGTGATATAACATTTTCCAGGTGGCGACACTGAACTTAAAACTGTTTCAGCTCTACTTGCAAAATGTACATGAACATTTAGTTTTATATGTTTGGGATGATTACTAAATAATTCTACTTATTTATGTGTATTTTGTGAAAAATATCACTTACAATCTCTTTTTCTGGTGAACCACTTACCAGGACAAGACTTTCCGATTTGTTTCAAAGGTAAACTTAATTTCTTTACTTATATAATTTAAAATCTCAACAAACATAATATCTTGAATATCCTTCTATACTACAAAACAAAGGTGTTTTCAGAGATAATAAAATACATTTGATTTTTAGAATTTAAATTCCCGACAAACATATCTTGAATATCCTTCCACATTACAATTTTATTATCTCTGAAAACACCTTTGTTTTATTTGATCAAGAAGAAACCTACAAATTCAATAAACCTAGAAAAAATAGATTTTTCTGAAGAAGGTAATTCAGTTGTGAAAGAAAGAACTGTGCTTTATGTGATTTAGGTTTTATGAAACTACAAAAAATGCAATAAAAAATAATAAAGATAATTTATTTTTAATTAATAATTTATTTAATTATTGCAATTCTAGAAATGTAATATATCTTCTAGGTTGTATAAATTGTGATGAATTCTATGTTGGTGAAACAGATAATTTACGGTTAAAGATGTATTTATATAAATTCATTGTTAGACTTTCAGAAGAAAATAAAAAGCTCACTATACACCAACAAACATTTTAATCAATTTATTTTAAGAAAATTTAAAATTATGGAAGAATCATATTTTCATGTTTTCCCCTTTTGAGGCATGTAATGTTAAAGCATAAAGATTATTTTTCGAAAAATATTTCATAAAGTTTATTGGCACCAATTTAAAACACAGAGGGTAGAAGTAGCAGTAGTTATGTAAAATTAATTAGAATTGTGAAATATATTACTAAGAAACACAAAAAGGACAATAAAGTAAGCGAGTGGTATATAATTTTGTAATAAATTATTAAAGATAGGGGGAAATAAACTGCTTTTTTATAATAAGAGAAGGTATAATTAAAACAAATTTTTTTTCAATATTAAAATGAATAGAAAAGTGTATTTGATAAGCTTAAATTAATTAAATTCATTTTTGAATATATTTTAATACAGTGGTGTAGGAAGGAATTGCAAAGTGGGGGTGCTTGGCTAGACATACAGATTTTACAATGAGAGATTGAAAGTATAAGGAGCTACCAAACGCAGCTCAATCTAGGGAGTCTGGGGGCATGCCCCTCAGAAAATTAATATAATAGTATAATTTACAGTTGCTATACAAGTCGAATATGTAAAAGTAGGGGTGCTACTGTAGAACCGTGGTATTCCGACGTCTCTGTATAAGGACTGTATTTTGTGTTTATACATTTTGAAAAAAATATCTATTTAATTCAAGTTATTTATGTTTAGGTGAAAATTGGTATTTGAACGTTTTTATTATAGAA